GGTGTAAACTTACAGATTAAGGGGCGGTAATATTATAATGAGATCCCTTTGCCATGTCACTAGTGGAGCGAAATCAGATGCGCTTATTTTTTCAGACGCTTGCAGAAAAAGGCTTACCAAAACAAAGTTATTGGCTGGTCGCTGAGGAAATACATCAACTTCGTGCTGTGGATCGCCGTATCGGCTTTCACCGTGGACGAAGCGGAGCTCATTTAACCTCTATCATTCGACACAAATCCAAATGTGTGCATTTTGTGCATGTTTTGTGTGCTTGATGTTATAATTGCATTATATAAGTTGTTTTGTAATAGGACGCATCACATTTTAGATAATAAAAACTTGTGACTCAAATTCTTGAAAATAAGGTAATTAAAAGTAGCAACACTTTTTAATAACACGACAGCTGAGCTGTTTACAAAATGGTGTAGCTTTTCCAGTTAGAAGCAATTTTCTTTAACAGCTAGCAGTGTAGCATGACTAAATGCTACATTTAAATTATTATTTTTATAAAAACGATAAAAAATTAAAATCATTGACACTTTTGAGTCATCAATCAATAGTGAACTCTCTAAGCAACTTGCATAATTTTGCAATGGAATTTTTATTTTTTTTTTTGTTTAGCTTTAGCTGCTATACCACGCCACCCTCAAAATAAAATAATCAGTGTATTTTTTTTTTTTTTATATAAAAATTAAATTTAGAGGTACATACTTTTTTGTTTCCCCAAGTATAGTTATATAATTATTATTTGTTGTTTTATTTATTGTGAATTCATGTGTTTGAGTTTGAGGCAGCCATCCTAATTGAGATCCTAATTGAGATCGTCATGAAAATACAATTAATTACACAATTAAATGTTTCTCCTTAAATAGCTTCAATTTAGTTTTAGATTTGCTTGACTGCAGCTTAACTACTTTACATTACAAGTAGCTTGTAAGCTGCAGTTTCCCTAAAATGGATGTCCATCCTGGAAATCAATAGAAAGTTGTTCTGAGGGATCACCTTTATTTTATGATTCTGTGATGCCTTTTTGGTGACATGTGGTTGTCCAACACCTTACTAACACAGTTTATGTTGATTTTCCCTGTAGCTTGTTGCTATTTCATATA